TAAAACAGAAAAGGGATTTCATTCATCTATAAAAGGACGACCAATGGATGCATTGCTATTTATTGTTCGCATCAGATTAGCTGTGCTGCGGTTTAAATTGTGATTGGTCGTTTTGTTAACTGGGGAAAATGGCAAAGGAATTTGAGGATACTTGGGCATATAACACAATTGGCTCGCCGTTTCCGGATAATCCTGTTAGGGTTAAGGGTCAACAAAATATGTACGTTGCATTGTGGTACAAATTTGGCAAGCCAATCCATGGGCGAGCTTGGAACAATAATGGGAATGTGGAATGTTCATTCCCATATAGCAAGGTTTTCACAGCCTTTCATATCTCATACCTAGGAGGTAGAATAGTTAATAAGACCTCGATTTGAACTTTCTTGTACGTTTCACAGAATCAACAACTTATAAAGGAAAGATGAATATTTGAGACCCGAAAATACTGGATATAAGTAGCGGGAATATCCCGCCGGGAATATCCCGCGGTTTACTTTCGTTTAAATAGATTGCATTCCATTCACTTAATACAAACTTGTAAATACATTTTCCAAATTTTTCTTCCATTAAGAGAATGTCAAAATTGAAATTAAATCTCGCAGGTGGAATTAACGGGAGCTCGTGATTTGGGTGGACAAATCCAAATTTTGACATGTAGCGAACAAGATCCAGTAGAACAATTCAAAAAAAGCGGCTTCTGGTATGAATGGCGCCCATACAAAGACCGTGAGAACGATCAGCTGCTGCAGTTAGTACACTGCGGTCAGTCAACTCCGGTCTTAATGCCTACGAAGGACGGGAAAAATTTGCTTGGATACATCGATATGGGTAAAGATGTGGCCAATGTTGGTAACAAGGGTAAAAATGAAACACTTGCGGGTGGCGAAATTCAGGTAACATTGCAAACATATGAAAAATTCCTGTCATCAAATCATGCAAAAGTGCGGTATGTTGTATTTGGGTCAAGTTTCAATGTCCTTTTAATATAAGAAACAGAAAAGTGGTGAGTGTATAGATAAGAGCACACAAATTTCTGTTGTCGTGAATTGTTTTACCATTTCCTGTTGTTCTTCTGATAACTTTTACTGAAAGCGTATGTTACACAGAATTTGCTGGTCCTGTTTCGAAATATTAAAGTCCCGCCAACTGGTATTAAGATTTACGAAGATACCTGGATTGACCTCAGATACCGGGATCCATTTCCGGCAGCGAAGAATCCGATTCCTGTAAGTTTAATGAGGCAGCACTGTTATTTGCCCGTTCTTTTCTCCATTTTTCTACTAACTCTCATGATCAGAATTCAACTATTGTCGTTTAGGGTGGTGGTCGTAAACTGAAAAACGATGACGGTTCAGAGACATACAGCTATGTAGCACTGTGGTACAAACATGGTGAACCGGTTTTCGGACGAGCTTATCCAGATTCGACCGGAAAAACGTTGGCAAATTTCGGTTGGAATGGCCAGGAAAATGCGGGTGCAGAACTTGGATCTATGCAAATGATTGTAATCCCGCAGCCCGAAAATGTTAGAGCTATGAATATGAACTTCATATTATACAATCAATGTATGAATCTTGTCTAAATCTATTTTGATTTCAGGTCCAGTTGGTAGAGAAAAATGAAACTAGGCTTTGAAAGGTATAAGTAGATCGTAACATATATGGTTTGCTCAATTATAGCTTGGTTTTGAGTACAAGTGGATGTCGTACAAAGAAGTCAAGGGTGGTGCTGGTGGGTTCAAACCCTTGCACGTCGGTGACTGCGTGCCGTGTGTACTGAAAACGGCGAAGGGCGCTGAATTACTTGGAAATTTGCATATGAAGCTGGAAAAAGCAACAGCTGGCTTCGGTGGCAAGGATTCAGCGGTAGTCGGACCAGCAGTTATGGATTTCCTTGTACTTTGTCGAAATGGGTACAAATGAAGGGAAATCCTTCCAAAAAGCGAATCAATGCTGCTACTAGACTGTGAAGTGATAAAATGATATCTTGATCTTCGCACTCATTACTGCTAATTCAGGTCATAATAAATTAATTGAACTGCGCTGACAAAGCTTTTCTTGAATTTACAACTTTCATCAAAAATCACCGTTTGCTCTAAGCCAGCTGAAGTTGATGATGACATGTCCAAATGGATCTTCATAGTTTGTGATTCAAGTTACTTCACTTTTGATGAAGGATATGATTCAACTTTTGATGAAGCTTTGTTTTTAAACTTTGCTTTATTTACAAGAATTGAGATGATGGAATTGTCATTCCCAGTGAAACAATTGTATTTTTAAATAAGCTTCCCATTATATAATTTTTTATTTAACTAATAGTCCGAGAACGAACCGTTTTCAAATTACTTTTACCGACTTCTAGAAGTATTTTAAGTGTTTTTCTGAAGCAATAAAAAACGAAATTCCCATTATATAATTTACAGAAAGGATGGCTAAGCTACTCTTTCCTTGACTACCGCAAAAAAGAAAAAGAAACTAATAAGAAAGCTACAAACAAAAAGAGGATATTGGTTTCAGAAAGATTTACAGAATAGTTTCTACATTTTCAATAACAATTTCGGATACTACAAAAATACAGTAAGCAATAAACTGCAAAGTAAAGATCAAAATACCTATGCAAATAGCCTAAGAAATCAGAACTAATTCAAAAAATTAAAATGATCAATATAAATAACAATGCTACAAAGTTTCACCTACAAAAAAAAAGAAAGAAAAACAGTTTATACCTGTCGACGACGTTTCTGATCGTGACAAAGATTAAGAGGGTTTATACTTCCTCTTTGGTTCTATTTCTTCTTGCCGATTTTGTTCCTTTGTTTTTTTTCTTTTTTTGCTTCTTATACTTAGATAATGAACCTCAAAACTTGGGTAATTAAATCTTTATTATGATAAATTTAGTTGTTATTAATTAAATCTTTATTATGTTTTATTAATTAAATCTTTATTATGATAAATTTAACAACAAACTCAGCAATTAAGATTTCAATATGACAATTAATGACGAAATCAAAATATCGTCTACCTACTGATCTTGTCGAAACACATCTTTAGGAATGATTTTGGTGCTCAGATCTCTTTCTTCCTTGGATTAGAGAAGATCTTGGTACAGTTCTGAGATCAGAAAGTCAATTCTGAGGTCAGGTGGTCAGTTCTGAGGTCACAAAAATTACCGCCTATATTAGAGCATATAAACACAATGGATGTACAATTTTAGTTTACATTACACAATATACCCCTCACATATCATATCAACGGTATCAAATTAACAAGAAAGAAATAATTGATTCACTGCATCTCCTCGTGATTTCAGCCACAGTATCCATTTGGTCATCTGATGAGTGGTTGAATTACGAAAATAAACAAGTATGGTAATAACGTTGAGCGCAGAAGTGAGCAGTAAATATTTGACAATTAATGGGATTATCTGATGACAAGTAATAGAAAAATAACTATTGAAAGTAATATTGATATGGTGAATGCTATTTTCTCACCTGAAATTCTCCTCTATGCTAAAATTTCCTGATACAACAACCATTATGAAGGACAAACAAATTTTCTACCTCATATATTTTTTTTATTTAAATTGAAATTTCAACCGAAAATGGAAAAACCTGAACTAGCGAGAAAAAATATTGCTATACTCTGAAATACCAGTAAATGTTAAATGCCATCAAAACAGCCAAATTCATTGGTAAACATATCGTCAAAGCGAATAATGATGATAAGGTTGTCCCTTTGTTTTATTAAATTCTCAAACGATTGATAATTATGATAGCTGATAACTTAATACCTCAAATATCCATTTTTCCACTTCAATAACTTTATCACTTACAGATTGCAAATGAATGAGAAATATATTTCGATTGATTGAGTACTGCTTTAGGTATTTTTCGCGTAACTAATGGTAAAATATCGGGCAATTTCATTTATTTTAGCACCGAATTTCAGACATATCAACCAAATGGAAATTATCGATAACTTATCAAGCAGCTATCGATAAGCTTTAACTTATCAAGCAGTGATGGCTTTAAGCAAATAAAGCAAATATTGCAGAAAATGGTGGAAAAGAAATATATTTTTTTCCAATTGATCGTTCGAATTGTTTTGCGATAGCATTTGAGCGTATATGTGACGATAAACATCCTATCAAATACTAAATTTTCCATTTGATATTATACGAATAAGCAGTGTAAATAAAAAGGTTATTATAGAGATCAGTTAAATGGCAATGAAAGTAAAGGAGTTGAGGAAAGGCCTGAAAAGCTGAATTCATTTTAAAGAAGTTAGAGAAAACTTTCTTTAATTTAAAGAAAAAATTCACAAAATTATCTAGTCGAATAAAAAAGCTTATTTAGTGACATTTGCACAAATGCAAATCTAGAAAACTGTCAAAAAGCAAAGAATAAGAATTCTGAAGTGATTCTGGATACACTTTTCATACACCGAATCTCTTTGGTTCATTCTCAAAAGTGATTTGATTTAAATTTCTAGATTTAGACAGCTTCTTGATATCATGTGTATTCGTTCCAGCCCTTCGACAAAAATGAAATATCTCCAGAAGGTCTGTATTTGTGATAAAAATAAAATAAAAATTCTATTTGAAATTTAGGGAATAATCAATCTACAAAGTTTACATACTTTAAATGAATTATAATAAAATATTTAATATAAAAAATTAAAGGGATTTTGAATAACAAAGTTGGAAAACTCTTTGTACAGCATTGCGAGCATGAAAAGGTTGCTTATTTTTGTTCTGTAATAGTGTATAATCTTTAAAGAATTGACGACACCTTCGTTGATATGATATGATATAGACAAGAAATACGGATCTACCATATCACTAACTCTTCGTTATCATCTCCAAGATCATCAATGAAGAAAAGGATGAGAAAATGAAATGAACATCAAGTTACTAATCCAATTATATAAAATATAGCTACGATCTGATTCATATCAGGCCATTAATAGTTTATCAAATAATTTGTCAAAATTTCATTTATTAAAGATTTCCGGGCCTCCAATCTATAACTGAAATTTATCAATAGATGAAGATGAGAAATATGAGACAGATCTGTTGTTGTAACTTGTCTGCTTTGTTTATCATTAAGTTAAAATGATTGGTCAACCTCTTGCTTTGTTTATCAAAGGTCAGAAGACTGAAATTTAGTGCAATATCACTGCTCAATTTATCAATTTTCGCCTATTAACTAAAATATATTGCACAAGGAGAGTTTTATTATCATTTCTAATACACATTAATAGATAGCTGGTTGAAATCACGACAATGAAGTTATCAGTTGTTTATGATGTGCTTTACTGTTATTTTGCTACTTGAAGTGATTGGTATCTTTAGGTTATGAGCTGCTATAAGTCTTTCCTCACTTATTTTCAGCACTCTGATAAATTTAGCAAATTCAATCTAATCAATAAGCAGGTAGCTTTTAAGCCTATTCCTAAAATTTGTCTCGTATTTAAAGAGGCAGTTTATTGCAATTATGTGTTTCTAATGGCAAATGCTGGAAACATTGGTCAGTTTGATGTCAGTTCATGGTACTCTGATAATGCGCATTGTGTTTGTATGTCCGGATCCTGTAATTTTTCATCAATCAATATCTGATCAAAGATAATCTTTCAAAATGGTTTCTCTCAATATGAAATTTTTTTATATCAGAAAAAATATAAAAAAATATGCTTCCACCTTTCCATCGGAATATCATCTTTCAAATGCTGCTGTACAGACTAGCTGTAACAATAATGATTTAAGATTATTTCCTTTGCTCTCAAGTGACAATAACCATGACATATACCTTTAGACCATCCTGTGATAATGATGATCAAGTCATTCGATTTTATAAAACTATGAGCCTGTCCTTCTTTTATACCTTGAGCCACTCGTAGGTCAATATCAGCCTTCCAGTCCTCATTTTTTGGCTCTATAATAGTGATGTATACATTCTTTCGTTGAAGAAGCCAACTTCAAAAAGTTACCTAATAAGCTGTGGATCAGCAATATCAAGAGTCATCTGTAGGGAGAAAATTAAGAATGATGGTTACATTATTTAAGGATTGAATGATTACTCATAAAGCGCTGATCGACAAGATAGACTTAAGGATTTCGTATAATGAAGCTAATTACTTGATCACCTAAGCTTATCAACAACACATGTCAACAAACCAGTATAAAGTATTGGATGTACACCACGAAACAAATGCATTTGTCGAGCAGCTTGCTCTTCTCGGGTTATTGCAATGATTGGTGCCATGGGACGATAACGACTGACCAAACTAGCGGAGCTAAATTCATCATTTATTAAGCTCTCAATAACTATCTTATAAGTAAACAAGCTATAACAAAGCTGCTCTCACATTTTCACGTCGAAATTATACGCATTCAGATGCTTATATCTTCTTCCTATATTTTTCATTTATGTCTTTCTGAAAGTTAAAAGAATCTGAATTTCTGAAAATGCTTACTGTCCCGTGGTAGTTAGCACTATGATAGCGCTTGAATTGCATGAAAATGCTGCTGAAACAGCTGCAATTGCAATTGTTTGTGTGATTTCTGGAGGTTTCTTCATGCAAAGAAGAGCCTCACGAAATACTTCGTGATAATTTACGATTAATTCAGCTTCCAGACATAACTGAAATAAGTATTTGTTAATATTAATTAACTTCTATGAGTTACCAATTTTCAACAAATGCTGAAAAAAAAAAGGAAAACTACCACATCCACTGAATATTTGACATTATCATTAAGCACATTTTGTCAATTGTTTTTCTTTTGATCCTTTTTTCATTTACCTTACTCATGGTCATTAGCGCTAATACGGGATAGTCCCCTCTTGCTGTTTCACCGCCCAACATGACGCAATCAATGCCATCTAGTACTGCATTTGCGACATCAGTACCTAAGCTCCAATCATTGATTCACATTAAATTAAATATGTAAAATGAAGAATCAAAAAAAGAATTTTTGAGTATATAATTAATAATACAATAAAATGGTGCTATTTTTTAGTAATAACAATTAGCACAATCCTCGGATAACAAGTATACAATTACAGCACAATTGTAATTCCATGTCAAAATATTAGAGGCAAAAATGACACCATTTTGCTATCCTTAATGCATTAACTTACCCTCAGCTCGGGTAGGTCTTGGCTTCTTAATCATTGAATCAAGCATTTGAGCAGCACATATAACAGGCTTCCCGGCTGCATTACAACGTGCTATTAACATTTTCTGCGCTGCGAATACTTTCTCAGTGGGAATTTCAATTCCCAAACTACCACGTGCTATCATTATTCCATCTGCTTCTCTGATTATTTCATCTATGCTAAAAAGTCCTTTGATATATATGTATATTTTCCCATTTCTTTACAAAAGAACATCCCATTTCCGCTTTCCCATTGCTATTCAGATTGAACTTAAAAGGGCAACTTGCTGAGAATTTTGATTTCATTTCTTACATATTTAATTATCACTTGCTTATCATTAATTTAACAATAATTAGCTCACTTATCAATGCCTTCTTGATTTTCAATTTTTGCTATAATTTTAATAATTCTTCCTTTCTCGCCAAGATTACGTCGAATTGCACGGACGCCTTCAGCGTTTCGAACCAATGATGCAAATATCATATCAACACCCTGCAGAAATAAAGTTATCTTTAAGTTAGCTTTAATTTAGAACTGGAAAGTTTAGAAAGAGTTCATAAATTGGTACCTGTTCGACACCGAATTTCAAATCTTTAATGTCTTTGTCGGTAACGACAGGCAAATCGCACTTAATACCAGGAAGGTTGACACATTTTTTACTACCTAATTTGCCTCCGTTCTCGATTGTACACATTATATCCTTTCCCTCTAAAATAACAAGATTATTTGATCATTTCAAATGAAAGTAATAAACAATTTTCGTTATATTTGTACTAATTAAAGATAAATCAAATTAAATGTTTAATTAAAACTAATCCAATCCTAATATAATTGATAGTAATTTGTAATTGTAATCAAAAGTAAATCAATACTTCCATCCAAATTATGTGCTTTAATCGACCGAACTTCACAATTTGTAAATTTTTCTTCTAGCAGATTATCATTGAATAATAGAATAAACATTCATACGGATGCTATCTACCACCAATGAAATGAGCCCATCGTCGATGAATATATGCGCCCCAGGATTCAAAATTTTAGGCATATTCTCATAGTCAACGTATAATTCATTAGCACTGGATTTCGAAGTCATAGCCTTGTCTGTTGTAAGCTTAATTTTTGCGCCTTGTTTCAGTTCTATTTCCGCCGTAGCGGACTTAAAAAAATGACAAATTTTAAGGTATTCATTCATTCATTATTATTTAATTATTTTAACAATTAATTCCTTTTTACTTAAGCCAATTAAAACATTATTCAAATGATCAATTACAAATCATTCTAAAGCTTACAAACTTTAAATCTTAAGATTTGGATTTTTTTTTTTAAATTGTTTTCAAAGACTAAAAGCAAACTTCTATTGCAAATATCTCATGTTAAACAATTTCAATTGTTCAATAATAATTTGGCCAAAAATTTTATCTTACTCCATTGATAAGTCCGGTATGAATTCCAGGTCCGTTAGTGTCCAAAGCAATTCCAATTAATGGCTTTTGATGAAAACTTCGCACTGCTTCGTGTATATTTTTTATTGTAGTTGCATAGTCCTATAAAAAAAAAAAATTAATTTTAATTTTTTATAAAAACTTATAATCGCCATTTGCATCTATTACCACTGAGAAAATTATCTGAATAGTTTTCAAGTGCAAATTTATAATGAAAATTATTAATACAAACTTCGTGTGATCCATGGGTAAAATTCAAACGTGCAATATTCATGCCTGATGATATCATTTCTTTTAACTTATCTACACTTTCACAAGCTGGTCCTACAATTTTAACATAAAATGGATAATTAAATAAATTCAAAATTAGGTTTATACTATGTAAACATTATTATTGCTATTCTAACAATCCATTGGGGTAAGCAATGATAAGAAGAAAATAAGAAGAAAAGATTAAATATTTTCATAATTACATATAGCGTTTCTTTTTTTTTTCTTTTTTAAATTTCGTTCGAAATAATATTAGCCACTTTATCATAAATTAATTAGCAAATCTAGACGTTGACATGAATGGAACGTTGACACGGATGGAACATTAACATGGATGGAAGTTAGCTGTTGAATTGAATTTACATATTAGTAATGCTTTTGTTTAAAAATGCTTAGCTAAAAAAAAGTTAGGAAAAGTGAATTAGTCCTAATTTTCTAGACAAAAGGATGGATTTCATACCAATGGTACATATAATTCCTGTTTTCCTTTCCATGTGCGGTTGATTGTTAATATTTATCTTATACTTCTTCATGAGATTTGTGGTTACTTCGTGATTCTCTGTTGATCTAAATTTTAATCATTTTATGGGAATACTATTAAGAAATATACGTTTGGAGTTATAATCTTAAGTTATTAAGTCATCTTAAACCATAATAGATGAGTTTTTCATTAAATTAGAATGATTACAATACTGTCTCATCCTATATTGTTGCCTTTAAGTGACAAAATTAAGGATCATTTAAAGATTCTGATAAATTATCTCATCCTTACACTTATCTTTTCTTCATCACAATCATTTAAAATTTTTGGATCCAATTTCAGGTTAAGCTATTTTTTCCGGATTGATTTGGTCAGCATATTATCTGAACGAACGAATTAACAATTCACAGACTTTTGCCTTCCAATCATGCTGACACGAACTTTTTTTCGAAATTTTTAAATTCACTTCAAGTTTGGGTATACGGGAAATATCATTCCGTTAAAAATTTAGAATTATTTTCACAGGTACATAAATAGCTATCAGAGATTATCACAAGAGACACAAGCATTAGAATTGAAAGATGGTGCATCAATTTTGTTTAATTTTTCCCGCATTCATTTTTCGATAAAAAAATTTCAGTTCTTTCTCGAACTGAAAATAAAAGAGCTCCTATCTTGCTGTTTATCACACTGTTTCGTTTTCATAGAGGAATATATTTTAGTTTGATTGATTTTTAAACTTAAACATTTACTAATCTTACTAGAATAGTTTGAATTGAAGTTATCTCACAGATTTAGTTAATTTTCTTATTATTCTCTCCTACTAGAGATCATAAATGCTAAATCCAGATTCCCAACTTAGGATGATTATAAGATTATCAGTGACTGCTTGCTATTAATATTCCTCCAGTAATTTGATGAATTGCTATTGTAATAAAATATAATTAACTTTACTCTCTCAATTAACTTATGTTTCGTTCTATCATAATAACTCTATTTCAAATTAGAATTTAAGTAATTACAGAAGAATTAATTGATTCTTGCCCACAAACAGCCAACAAGCATTACTAAATCATTTATAGTTATGTGGAGCAAAACATACACCATGTTTAGAGTTAGTCAGTGTCGCACTTTTTCGCACTCCCAAAGTTTTAGCACGACAAACCCGCTCGATAGCTAACCAGAATAAAAGAATGAAGTGCGCCAGTATTTCTGTTTCTAAATATAATGACAATGTGAATGAAAAATTTGCATCTTATAGAAAAATCATTTGAATCTAAAATCTTCTGGGATTTAATTTTTTTTCAATTAATTAATTAGAACCTAATTGATTTATAATCGATTTAAGAGTTGTACTGAAACAATTGATTTCTTATTAGGATTGATTCAATAATAACCTCTGGAGGATAGTATCTGTGAACATAGTAACACAGTTGATGTTCCACACTTGTCTGCACTGATCCATTCCTGGATTAATAATTAATTTGAGGGTTAAAAGTAAGCATTTTAATTGTTTTCAACTCACTTACTTGTTTCATTTTTAAATGTATTAGCTTGTCTCTTTTAACTTTTATGGATTTTAACCTTTGCAATATACTCATCCATTGGTTAAATTGTCTTTCAAATAAAATTTTAAGAGATTTTTTTTAAAAAAAAAAGAAAGTGAAGGAGAAGATATTATAAAATTGCCGGCTATTACTTGTATTTTAAGCGCGGAAACGTCAATCTTCAAGTTCATTTGACATTACAAAAAAAAAAGTGATAAGCAAACTGACGCCGTGATATCATCATTGGGGAAAAGAATATAAAGAGATTTCATCCGTTCGTCGAAATGCTTTCTAAGAACAGTCCTACAATTGGAGTAATAATTAGAGAAAGTAGAGATGGACATTAATCTTCTAACTCCTCCACTTTACTTTGAGCTTAAGGTCCGAACTTAAGGCTCGAACTTCTCTGTCATTTTTTTGCGAAGAAAACACATAACTCTCAAGTTCTTGATTATTATCAACTCAAAAAAAACGACTACTCAGTCCTAATTAGCGTTATTAAAGATATAATTAATCATGTGATACCAGTGACTACAATCACTCAAAATTAAGAAGATGATATTCGATCCTAAAATATTACAAATACAAATCTACTACAACGATTTAGGCTTTTCTAATTTTGATAAAAAATAATGAAAACTATCAAATATACCGAAAAATGAAATATATGGGGATTAGTACCAAGATAAAACCAGTTGTTCAGCTCAGAGATGTAGTCTAGTTTAAAGATGTGGCCAGATAGTTTTGTTGTTCGTATTTAGCAAAAGCCTAGGATATGAAATGTTATTTACAGCAAGTTTCTAATCAACTAAAAACGAAGAAATTTGTGAAAAGCAAATAAGCGTACCATTATTCGGAAGAAAATGGTTTGGGGATAATAGCACCAATTTTTTTTCCATTTTTTGGAAGAGGAAATAGAACGTTAATTCATCTATCGTTATTTTAATTTGGATGAAGGAGAAAACGAACAGAAGTGGAAATGTTGACAAAGAAAAAGGACAAGAAGGTGACAAAGTTATCAAATAAATTTAGTATGAAAAGTGGCGCTGTTAATGAGGAAGATTAAAAGAATAACTGAAAACGCCTAGATGTTATTATATGTGAAGCTTTTTTATTTGCAACAAGTATCAAAAAAAAAAATTCGAGCTAGTTAAATATAATGAATTAGAAAACTTGAGAAGAAAAACAAGTTTAAAAGAGACATAGAGTGAGATCTGATACTGTAAATGGACTTTAGGATTTAATATGAAAATGGTGATGAAATGACATTAATTATAATTCCACACTCTTATAGGACAGAAATGAGTAATTATTTCTCTCCGAAATAATCATATTTTATTTGAAATTATCAGTCATCAGAAAATTCAACTAAGTCATTTGCTCAGGTTCGATTTCAAGATTTTAACGTGCCTAAAAAAAATTAATTAAAAAAGATAAATGGAAAAAATTAGTCAGAAAGATGAAACAGGTATTTAATTGAATGCAAATTAATAAAAAGTAAATTTATATATTCAGTAGTAAAATTAAAACACTCAACTGTATTGCTGTTTAAGTTATGTTGCAGAAGCAATGACCGTATTATCTGAA